CAATATAACAAAGAGTGAAAAATTTAAGGGGGTCTGAATACTTTCCGTACCCACTGTATATACACCTCAATAACTGGTCTGTTATTACACAATTTTAATCAAAATAAACAAATTTTATGATTTATTTTTATGTTTACTATTTATTTAATAAACAGATTTTTTTGATCATTATACAGTATATCATCATATAAAAAGACATTTTCATTGAGGAGAGCTATTAGCTGTATTGTACTCTATCATTGACAGGGAGCATTGTTTATGTAAATTAAAGCTGTATTCAGATGGAAAAGAAAAAGAAAAAAGAAGACCTTCAAAGCATTTTTGTTCCTCTGGGCAAATGTTGAAGCCTGTGCTCTATTTGTTCTACTGTGGTTTCATCACTGAACAAACTTACTGAGATCATGGCCAATAGGCCAACGCTGGGGTAACTACAGGCTGAATAACATTGTCATTAGAAGAGGATCGCAGCTATTAAATATATGTATAGTTCACCTTTAGCATCCTGTTGTCAAATCCCTTAGTAAATTCTTCCTTCTCAACTCCAACAGCGAAGCTCAGCTCATAGCTCTTGAAGGCACTCTGTGTCTTAATCACAAAGTTGTCCCCATCCTGGATAAAGGTCTTTATTGGAGTAAGGTGGGCCGCAATCTTGCGGATGGCAAAGTCAATGTCTATGAGAGTAAATATTTGTAACTTGGCATGGTCATTTCCATGATATATACATCATATTTTAATATCATAATAAAACTGCATAATCCAAATGAGGAAATAGCACATATTTCTCTTATTTCTACTCCGTTGACTTATGAAAACAGACAACTGATCAGGCTTACCCAGCGCTTTAAGGTAATTTTCAAGGTTTTCGCTCGATTCCAGCTCCCATTTTCCAGTGAAATCCACAGGCATGTTTGTGCGATGAGCTCTGGACTTCAGGAGCGTTGCCAGGTCCAGTGAGGAGGTGCACCAAAGCATTTATACTCAACTGTTATTCACAATGAGGGGAGAGGGCAGAGTAATGATAAGAGAGATCTATGACCTAATGGGAGAGGAGAGACCACCTTCACCTAAAAAAAGAAATCAATACATCCATAAGCACTTACACTGTAAGAAGGATCAGGTGTAATAACCACTGGCCAATAGACACTTTGAAGGTTCTTGGGTTTCTTTTTATTGGCATTAGTTCCTGTTCTGTTTAGTTCATTCTTGTCAGTTGTCCTATTAAAATGTTCTGGATAATTGGCTCACTATTTAGTCTTGAGTTCAATATTCCCCGTGCATACCGTGATATTTGAAAGGAAAAAAAATTGGTATAGGCTAGGTTAGGATGACAATTTGTTGTTATTCTGAACTCCTTAGAATGTTGCATTATAAGAATCTGAATTAAAACATGTTCTTGTATAAATAAGATTTTGCAGTGATCAAGTTTGTATCCAGTGCTGCTGTTTTATATGTAGGTGTTCTGATGCTGTCTGGTACTATCTCTGCACTGCCACTGGTCACCATATGGTGTAGCTGTTCATTTGAATGAAGCAGAGCTCTACTCAAATTTGTTGCATTGCGAACGGTTGTTGTTGCTCATGTTGCCAAAAACTAAAAAATGACCGATGTACAGTTAATTTGTTACTGTAAATCGCATTCAGTGTCAAACCTGAGCCTGCTGACGCAGTTACGTGATTACATCATTACCTAAAGCTTTTAGCTACGTCCACCGGTCATTATGAACATTTATTCTTACTGTGATTTCATACAATTTCCCTGTTGTCCATAAGGAATTTCTTAAAAGGGTAAAAGCTATACCAAATGGTCTTGTTCACTTAATGAAATGTCATCTATCATTTGAAGTGATTGTAAAAAATGAACAGACATTTATATAAATACAAGAGTATTTATGACAATAATAAAATGATATAAGAAATGTGTTTCAGTCAAGAAAAAGAATTACTCTGAGGGGATTTATTTATTTAATTATTATTATTTAAAAATTATTTAATAGATAAGATTAATTGGAAAAAAGCATGACTCTTAACTTATAAATTTTGTGTCCCCAACAAAGTAAAAGAATTACATTTAAACATTTTGCATAACATATACCCCACTAATGAGATTACATCAAAATTTGGTAATGCTCATTTGAACTGTAATTTCTGTCATTTCAGTATTGAGTCTATTGATCATCTTTTTTTTTTTTTCAAATGCCCGCATGTTAAAGAATTTTGGTCTGACTTCATAAATGTAAATTTTCTTAAACATTACCCAAATTACATAATTTTCTTTGTGACTTTAACTACCTAATTATAACAACAACAACAAAAAATGGTGAAATGGTGAAACAAATTTGTGAAACTGTATAACAATCTGTTGAATGTTACATAATTAGATTTACTACCTCTGTACTTCTTGTTTTAATTTTTTTTTATTTCCTTTATCGTCTTTCCGTATTATTTCTTTATTCATACTGTCATCCAATGTTATATTTATTTGTTCTTTATTCTTCAATAAAGAAGTTTATTGATGTTTATACTTGCAATTAAAAAAAACTTTTTTTTTTTTTTTTGGAACTGTGATAGAATTCTTTCAGGATTCTTTGATGAGTTCAAAAGTTATTTTGTAACATTATACATTTGATCACCTTTGATCAATGTATTATGTCTTTTCTAAATGAAAGTATTAATTTCTTATAAAAAATTACTGACCCTAATCGTTTGAATGGTAGTGTACCATTTTTTTTAATTCTCTTGTTTTAGAAGAATCAGTGGGGAGGAGAGTCATTTCCATGCAAATGTACAATGTCTTCTACACAAGATTAATTAGCCTACTAAAAGTTAAAACTAAATTACCAGAACATAATTAGTACCTACAGAAAGATGAATTATTGCTCTTCTCTGTTCATTATGACTTTGGAAACAATCAGTTTTGAAGTGATAATTGGCATAGTGCATAAACAATATTATAAATCTATCACCCACTGAGATGCTGCTGCCAGAAAAGGGGGCGAGTGGGTAGGAGGTTATACAACGTCATTGTATTTGATCTTCATTCCTGTGATCAGAGAAATTCTGTATTTGGACTCTATTGTTAAGCATGGAAGACAAGATAAGTAGCAAAGAAATATGTCAAGAAGAACAAGGACCATTTCCAGCGTTTGATGTTCAGAAGATCAGAATGCCCAAAGGCTACACTTAATTCTGTCACCACTGTTCCAGCACTTTGCGTGATATTTATTGCTCCTTCCAGTGTGTCATAAAACAGGCCAGTGAGAAAGTAGGACGAGTATGTGAGTACAGAGAAAGAATATTTTGGTATTAGTTCTTATAATATGGCAGGCCATTCTCTATTTTAATCACAGGGAAAAGATATAGATTCAAACTCAAACTGACCACATGAACGAAAAAAAACACGACATTTCGGAAAAAAATTGACATGGATCTTTCTATACAAATGGCCTTGTCTGTCAAATTGTCTGTCTGTCAAAAAATAAAATAAATAAATAAAAAGTATGTCATGGCATGCTTTTTTATTTTTAGGTGATTTTAAATATTTGTCCAAATACACTACCGTTCAAAATTTTGAAGTCAGTAAGACTTTTGATTGATTAATTCATTCATTCATTTTTGAAAGAAATGAATACTTAAAAGAATAAATTAATAATTCTTCAATAATTCTTCAGCAAGCACACCATTAATTGATCTAAAGTGTCAGAAAAGACATTTATACTGTCCAAAAAATTATATTTCAAATATGTGCTTTTAAACTTTCTATTCATCGAACAATACTAAAACAATATACATCACAGTTTAAAAAAAAATAAAAAATATTAAGCAAATTAAATATTTGATAATATTTGATAATAATAAGAAATGTTTCTTGAGCGGAAATATCAGCATTTCTGAAGCATCATGTGATGCTGAAAACTAGAATAATGGCTTCTGAAAATTCAGCTTAGGCCAACACAGGAATAAATTACATTGGAAAATATATTACAAATGACAAATAATTACAAACAGTAACTTTAAAATGTAGTTTTATGTCACAATATTACTACTACCCTATTTGTGACTGGTTCGGTTGTCAAAAGCGCTCTCTTGTGGTTTGTGGAAGATGGAATAGGCCATGATCCAAAAAGTAAACATCTCAAGAATAGCTCATCATGACAGTTCTGTATCTCTTATTTTACATTTCACTGTAAACACTTCAGAGTAATTCATAGTCAGGAAGACGTCTCAAGACTGGCCTCATTACTGACAGGTCTTCACCTCCTGTTTGTGCAGTGAACAATTCTCTCTCTCGCTCTCTCTCTGGAGTCTGTAGGCATACATGAAGAGCTGTTTGACAGCACTGTGATTGTTGCTTTGACTGACTGTTGTGCTGCTGACAGACTGAGAATCAAAACAATTACAAACTGACACATCTGTCTGTTCACATGCTTTGACTGACATGAGTTCATGAGATGCATCATGCATTGCAATGCGCTCCCGAGGACAGAGCTCCTGTCCCCAAAAAAAAAATCCACAGCAGAAGTGTGTAAATGTGTAAATGCTCTTTGAGATAATCCAAAGGCCGTAATTGGTTTTAGGATTACAACGTGCCCTGTGATTGAGACGCTGTGCTGCACCTTGATGTTGAAACATCAGTGCAGAGGACAAACGCAAAAACGAAGCAAATATGTCTCCCGTAGACATGAATGGATACTGGAAAATGACAAGTAATGAAAACATTGATGAATACATTGATGAATACATGGAAGCACTAGGTAGGCTGATACTTCATTTTCCATTTATTTATTCATTACACCGGTGTGAAATAAATGTTCTATGCTAAGGTATGTGAGATGTTACAGAATATATTCTGTTGGAAACAGTCAGAGTAAGAGAAATACGTCTGTATTTTGTACTCAAGAGATACGTTTTAGTACCTTTGGCAGACCTGATTCTATTATGTGAAAAACAAAAATTGGTCCAAGTACCATATACGGCTATGGTTGACCAATTTGATATGTATTCAACTTACAGGTGTGAATGTTGTCATCAGAAAAATTGCCAGCTATCTCATCTTTGATAAGGAGATTGTTCAGAATGGTGATCATTTTAATATCAAGACTCTCACCACCTTTAGGAACTACCAGATGGAGTTTGATGTTGGAAAGGAGTTTGAGGAGGATTTGGTTGGTGTAGATGATAGGAAATGTATGGTAAGTGACCTCCTTATTTATAAAGGTACAGCTTAAAGTAGGCTACAACAAAACAACAATATAAGATCAGAAATGCTTTTAAATGGAAAACTAATCTGAACTGCTTTTCCGAGGTTACTGTGGTGGATGAGTCAGTAAATAGGATTAGATTGAGATTTACATACAATGACCTATTGAATCTTAAATCCACGAGGGTTTTGGGCTAATGCCGCAAACACCTGGTGCTCGGGAACTTTAGGTCAACTCGCATACACAGTAAAATATTATTTTCAAAGTTGTTTATAAAGATAATTGGAGTGTGTTATACGAGAAAATACCATTTCAAAATGTTACTTCAAAATGTTGTTTAATTCAATGTGTTACTTACTATTTCTTTGTAATTTGTGAAATTTGCTGAAAATTGTTTAAAAGGAAAAATCATATGCAATTTTTATATATCATTTAGAAATGCTAGTGCAGTGTTTGTGTTCAGTATTCAATATGGCATTTATTGCAGTTAAATGTTGTCAAAAATGTACTTTTTATTTTTTTATTTATTTGCTATTCACTCTTTGCCAATGCAGAAGTAAGCTATTTTCCTGTTAATGTGTGGGACTTCTGATTCATTACCTACTATCCATAAATAACAAGAATAAAAATGTGTAGTAATAAATAGTCAAATTTGGCCTACAAACCATAATAATAGTAATACTAATAATGTACAGCTAAAATGTATTGGAAGTGACTGACACCGGAAGCCTTGCACATTCAAGTTAAAAAATGGAAGAAAAAAAGTGTTATGTGTTTGGGAAATTGTACACAATTGATTCTCTATTCTCTGTGTTTATTGCAAGTCAGTACCAGCTTCAACTTTCTCACCAGCATGTATTTGTCCTTGTTTTGTAGACCACGGTAAACTGGGAGGGAGACAAACTGGTGTGTGTACAGAAAGGAGAAAAGGAGGGAAGGGGCTGGACTCAGTGGGTGAAAGGGGATGAGTTACATGTGGTAAGTTTATATAAGGATGCGGCAGTAGGGGGCGCAACTATACAAGACTGGCTTAAGTCTTCTTGAAAACCTGCTGCCCACAACTCATAATTATAATTATAAAACAAAACACAAATTCTGTTTTTATAAAATCCTTCAGGTCAAAGGTCACCTGAATCAATAACTTTCATAAGGCGCCCATGTCCTTTTGAAAACACGTTCCTTTTTTTGCTGTCTCTATAAATTCCACTTGTCATCAGCAGGTGGCGATATGTACCTAAATATAGATTCTTAAACACCTTACACACCCTTTTGTCAAAGAGGTTACCCAGGGTAATTAAGCACAACATCACACAGATGTGGTCGAACATCTGTTGTTAATGTTTCAAATGAGCACAATAGCCTTGAAATGATAATGTCCTGGCTCCCCCTGCACAATGATCCCCTAATTAACATTGGTGAACACATGTCATTTATATAATCAGTTACCATATGTTTTACACTAACTCATGGTTTCCAAAAACAAAGTAATTGCTGAATGAGGGCAAAGGAGTGTGTGTAGAAGAAAAGATGTAAAATGTAAATACCAAATGAAATCTCCTTTAATCCAGTGCCCAGCCCCTGCCTTCAATCTCTCTTTAGGAACATGCTGCACTTGGTAAAATCAGAGTCTGCCTTTTCTGTACACACACAAGCTTGTCTTCATCCCAGGTGATGGTGGTCTGTGGGAATAAATTATGCAAAGAATAAAAAACATTGCTGTTTAAATTAACAAACCGTGAAATTTACTGTTTGTAAATTTAGCTAACATAAATTATTATTATTTATTTTTAATAGGAAGGTTTTATGTAGGCTAGTTGCGCCAGTGAAACTGTAATGGATGAATGTTTCTAATAGTAAGCATTTTACTAGTAATGTTTATCTCTTATGCCAATGAAGAACATCAAATATACAGCTCGAGTTGGCTGCTTAGATAAAACTTCTGTGACATAATTCATTTTTCATTTATTCAGCTCATGCTTTAATCAGATAAATTAATGCATGTCTTATATTTTTATGAGACTGAACCATTAAACATTTACTTTTTTTTCTAACAGTCATCAAAATTGAACATCTGAATTACTAAAACAAGGATAAATCTTGTGCTTTCACTTACTATTTCTGACATTGTGTGGTTTTATACGGCTTTCTGTAGTCATCTGCATTCCATGTACATATGAGGGGATTACAATAAAATAAGTAAAGTGAACAGAAATGAAATCAGAAAGCAAAAGTTATTTGAGCCATTTCTAGGCCTAAAACTGAAAACATCAGCAGACAAACACTATATCTTATGGCTCATCAATTTTATCTCTCCATCACTGTGTGATTCATAGATACTTCTGATTATACTTGCATGAAGGGAAAATGTTGGCACACTCATCTTACATTTCCTGCCATCTACTGGACCCAGGTCTTCCTCAAACCAACCACAAATGCCATGCCATAGTTCTTGAAAGTACTTGATACTTTATCTCCATTCTGGGTGATATCTTTGTCAGGTTTTAACAAAATCAACATTAACATCTCCAGTAATAGTAATTTTGGAGGGGAAAAAATATTAAATTAGTGTCCCGTTTTGACAGATCTGTGTATAAATCAGTACAGGGTTAACATAGTAATGTTTACGGAAGCACCTGTTTATTTATGTTTTATGCTTTAAAGGCAGGGTAGGTGATTTGGTTGAAAAACATTTTTTGTTATGTTGGTTGAAAGTCTCTTCACATCCCGATAGTAATCACTAAGTGGCCTAAATTTATTTATATGTATTTATATCATCTGTGGAAGGCGTAGGACCATAAAATGTTCATCCAATCAAAATGTACGGTCTGAACATTATGATAGGCTATCCTACCTGCCTGTCAAAATATGTATTTGCATACCTCTGCGCACCCTGTTTACGCAGACATGATACGTCATCAGCACATTCCAGCAAGAGTGAAAGGCGCTATTATTTTATCATTATGGCTTCGTACTGTATTGTCACCGCTGAATGAGACATGAGGTAATCTGACAGCATTGCATTCAATCCTCCACCAACGGCATCTCTCTTCGTATCGCAGGTTAAGCCCGGTTCAGACTACATGATTTTTTTTGTCGGTTACGACAGTCACTGTGACCCTACCTTTAATTTGAGCATTTAGACGACTCAGTGAATCGGGTAAGTGAATGATTCCATTCATTCAAAACAATGGTCGCCAGAATCAACCAAGAACGAATCAGTGAACACAACTTTGAACTGAGCGTCAGAACAAAGCGTTTTATAAATTAAGTGAGAATTCATAGTTTCCAGTTCATTATAGTATATAGTAGGCTAGCCAGTATAATCAGCAGGTATTGTGAAATAAATGCCTTTTTTTTTTGTGTCCTGAAAATGTGTTTTTAGAGGAGACCTTATGCCTGATCACCCTCCTGCTCCTGTCTGTCGTGCATCTCTCTGGCTGTCAGCACCGCATTTTATTTACCACCATATTAATCGGATAAGCTTCATTACCATCACACATGTGCTGCTCAGTACAACTATATTGGGAAAAACACTCCCACAATGTGCAAAACCCATGCATGTAACCAACCCTCAAAGCTCAAATCACAAGAAATTGGGACATATAGATTTATGATAGGAGACAGTCGTTACATTATTCTCATGGATTTACACCGTTCTTCTGCTACATAAACTTTTAGATTAAATGAACTGAAAAGACATTTCTCAGCTGACATGTAAATTAGAAGTCAAAAATTCTCAGGGCATCTTGAAGAGAGTGATATTAATTTGTGATTTAAGACAACACAGCTGAAATCTATCTTTGTTTTTTAAACCTAATGTTTTTAGAGTAGAAAATGCTTTTTGCTCACATGACCTTTACTCTGGCACACATACCGTCTTGACTAATTAAACTCAATTAACTAATTTGTAGACTTTATTTATCATCCAGCTTGAATCATAATGCATGGATAATATGGTTGGAAGCACAGAGAGGTATAATAAAGAATTCTCTTTGACTCCTTATCTTAAAAAGCTACAGGCCTAATTGATAGGAAATTTATAAGATAAAAAGGATTTAAACTGCAGATATCAGATTCAGGTTTTAAAAAGACCCCAGAAGGCCACTAGCATACCACATATGTGACCTGCATATTAGCTGTTTTAATGCAGAAATGCAAATTTGAATGAAGTTTGGAAAAGTAATAATAATAAATGTAGTTTAATCACAAATCAAAATAAACTTAACAAGCGGCAGCAGACTTATACACAAAACATAACGTGTTCCAGGTCTGGTCTTCCCTCTTTTCTCACTCCTCCTTATATCCTTCCTTACATCCTCCACCTTGCTTGCCACAGCTAGTTTTCAAGTATATTACCTGAATATACGTCAAGCCCATACGTCATAATAACATAAATGAAACTCTTAAATGATACAGCTTCATGTAATTATGTAATCATGTAATGTATAGAAACAGACTTGGCGGAATTGGATGTTTATTACTTTGACTATTCACACAAACAGAAAACCACCAGCACTACACAGGCTCATTCCATCCTTCTTTATTTCTTCTTCTTTTTTTCATTTTCATTTTGTTGGCACATTTGTGGTACACATGGGAGAATACACAGGGTCCAACATCCTTTCCATCAAGCTTGTTTATGAGTGCTGCTGGAGCCAGACTACATTCATCATCTTTCTTCTTGTCTGTGCTCTCCTTGCCTTTCATGTAAGGAGTCAGATACACCTAACATTTCTTGTTACACACCACTAGATAGGGTAGACTCTAGATCCAAAATACCCTACAATAAAGTCATATGTATGCACATGCAGATGGTCATTTATGCAGTAACAGAGCTTCATCACATTTATATTATGTTATTAGTTTTATCTTTTCATTCTAGAGATGAACAAGAAATGAAGGTCTAAATTTGATGAATTGATCAACAGACAGTTCACATCCAGTAGTAGCACAGGTCATAGTTTTGGTTGGTTTTGGCCATGCTGGTAGATATATAGGGATCTAAAAGCATATTTCTCAATCTAGATATGTATTAAATATTATTGTTATTTTTAATACCATTGAGATGAATATGAATGCTTTCACCAGGTATTATAGACCCCCATGGTACAGGTTCTTGTACAGGATTTCTTTAAGACCTTCTTTTCTATTATGCCATAAGCTCTGTTCCTACCACAAAAGATTAACAAAACAAAAGTAAATGACAGCAACCATCTGCTGTTATCTTTTTAACACATCTTGGTAATCTTGTCAGTGCAATAATGTTGACAATGATGAAGCCTAAGGCCCATGATTATGATGATTAGTATTTTCATTATAAATATGCAGAGTATCACTGCAGACATAGGAATGAATGGTAGTGTAGACATTTGCTTCTTATAAATGTATAATTTGATGCCTCTACCAATTGCCATAGCATATCATTTACATTTACATTTAGCAGACACTTTTATCAAAAGCGACTTACAAATGAGGACAATAAAAGCAGTCAAAACTAACAAAGGAGCAACAGTATATAAGTGCAAATGACAAGTCCCGGATGAGTTTAGAGACTTCTGCATCAGAGAGTGGAGAGAAGGATGAAAACGAGTGTATATTTGCTGGTAAGAAATAGTATCAATACTATCAATAGTAAGAAATGAATCTTATATACAAGTTATTGCATAAATGGAAATAAACAAGAATTAGGTAGTCAAAATGCTTTCATCACCTCCTCAAACTCAAGTCAGTGTCATGCCGTCAATGCTGACTGTCTCATTGATGAAGTGATCTCCATTCGCAGTGATGCTGTTGCTGGCTTCATCACGGTGGCAGTTTTCCTAATAGCAACATTTGTGTCTGTCAGGAACCGGAGCCAAAATCTAAATGAGATCACTTAACTCACATATGTGTATATTTATTATTTTCTGTTACTTTTGTGTTTACATTTCAGAGATTGTTTGAAAACAAATAGATGATATAGATGACATATTTGCCCACATATATGCAGTACTGTTAACAATGTACTGTATGTACATGTATTTAACTTGTCTCTCTCTGTCTGTGTGTGTGTGTGTGTACATCATATAAGTGAAATTCAATTATAAGGATGATAAAATATCGGTTACTCTGTAATTTAATTAATAATTAGTAGGATTATGCAGCCCTACTCAGTAATGTAATTATATTCCAAAGGTTTTATAGTGCAGTGTGATGATAATGTTAATTAAGCCTACAGAAGATTCTCTGCTTTTTGAACAGGTAATTGACTCAACAAGAGCTTTCAGGTACTCATTAGAGTTCTAAATTGAGATCATTTTCCTATAGTTGTTGTAATAAGCTGGCATTTTGAATTAGTGTGAGGTTTCTTAAACATCACTGAACATTTGGGGAGATTCGGTGCAGTAAAATGTCTGCATAAAGCCCCACATTACAAGTACCAAATCCAATTAGTAATGATAAGTTCATCAGGTTTAGTAGTGTCCCTGTTAAAAGAAAAACTCCATCTCCCTCCCATGAAGATGACATATACATCCAAGTAAATTTGGACCTATAAGAATAAGATAGTTAATATCCTCTGAAGGTATGATTGGTATAAGTCATTTTATTCAGATGTGTTGATAAATACAAAGCAGTATAAAATGTATAATTTTGCTTGCACAATCTGTTGCAGGTTAAATAGTTCAAGGTGTGCAAAGAGCAGGTTATTAAATACAAGCTTCTGTGGACATTATTGTTTAAGTAATGTCCTTAAAGGCTATTTTACCTGTTAAAATGCCCTGTGTATGCTTTGTTTTTATTAGCTAGCTCAAATATTTCTTCAAATGCATTGCTTGCAGATTCGACCTTGTTTATTTTTCTAAACATGTTATTTTTGTGTATTTTAGTCTAGAGGATCAGGGCCAACTTGGAGCTGCATGAGTACAAACAGACCATTATTTTAAAAGAATAGTTCAATCAAAACAAATTTATTTGCTGAAAATTTACTCACCCTCAGGCCATCCAAGATGTAGATGAGCTTGTTTATTCATCAGAACAGATTCAGAGAAATTTAGCATTACATCAGTTGCTTACCAATGGATCCTCTGCAGTGAATGGGTGCCGTCAGAATGAGAGTCCAAACAGCTGATAAAATCATCATAAGGAATCCAAATGACAAACTTCAGTTGTCACATCAAAATCCACCAACATATTTGTTCAGAACTGTTTTGGCTTGTAAACAGTGCTTGCACTGTGCATATTTCTCTACTGATTCAGACAAGACCACTTTTTCAATGGAGAAATCAATACTATTGATAGAGGACATGTTTTAGTTGTATTTTTGCAGTAAGCAGCGGTTTGAAGTGTTTGGTTTCTTACAAACATGTAGCTTTTTGCTTCACACAATGTCAATTGATGGACCGGAGTCATGTGAATTACTTGTGGATTATTGTGATGTTTTTATCAGCTATTTGGACTCTCATTCTGACGGCACCCACTCACTGCAGAGGATCCACTGGTGAGCAAGTGATGTAATCTACATCTTGGTTTGCCTGAGGGTGAATAAATTCTCAGCAAATGTTCATTTTTGGCTGAACTATTCCTTTGAGTAAATGAAGACCCAAAAATATATTTGGAGACATTAGCATGGAAAAAAGGAATGGACGGCATAATGGACGTGAACATTTTTTCACTGAAAGGAACACCTGGCCGGAAGCCGTTGATAGACTCTGGGCCAAATATGGAAAATGAATGGTTGCACCGATTTTACTAGATGGTGTTCTATAGTTATCAACACACTGCCAATTATGTGCCTTTCGTTCTCTTGTTAAGTGGATGTATGGGTGCTGCTTAGTTCACTTTTTAATATTCATGTAATACTTCAGAATCGCTGAAGCGTATCTCAGCAATAATGAAAAGTGAACATGCCAACCTGGATTTTCAAAAGTATATACAAAAACGGCAGCAATATTTAATTTACATTCCTGCTGGTATGCCTTTATTACACTAGTGTGTTCAAACAAACACATTTAGACACATATAAACAGCAGAACGCAATGCATTTCTCTTTATTTCACTGATTTATGTATTCTGTTGTGTGCACAGTCACAGAGGCAAGATGGGAAGGAAAGCAAAACCCTGCCATGCTCAGAACCCAAGAGACTGACAGGCTCTTCAATCAGAGCAACAGCAGCTGGGCGGCACTCAGACTCGTCACATAATTTTTCCTTCCACACATCCTCTCTGGAGTCTAATTACTTGTATGTACACAGAAGCTCCCAATCTGAGGAATCTTCTTCTTGCGTCCAAGACAACATCCTGACGCACCTGTTGTTTGATGGTTCACTTACAGGGCAGCTTATCCCGGTGTTCTCTACCACTAATGTAAATAACATCTAAATGACAAACACTGCACCTACGAAGGAAAGTCGCTTGAGATATTCCTCTGTGAGGATCAGAGCAAACAAGCATTTATAGATTGTGACAAGCTATCACAGATGGTGTTTGTCTGGTTTTCACAATAGCAGAGATGAAGGCGCACACAGACGGATAGATGTAGGAAGATGTGACATGAGTTTATATACTATAAAGTGTTGGATTTTGCTGGATCTCTTGCAGGTGTTCAGTCGGTGGGGGTTTAAGACTTTTTGAAGACCTGTTTACTCACAATCCCAGCGGCTCTCAGTTCCTGCAAACAAAGAAAATATTTAAAGGCATAATTCTCAACTCTAGGGTAGACCATATGTCCTTTTTGTCCTGGACACATCCTGGCCAGGATTTCTAAATCGGGTTTTGGCTTGGTTTTCCTACTGATGTTCTCTCTACAGGCCTCATACATTATATGTGCGAGTATTTGCGCTGCTTTGACTGTTCTCTGAACAGCAGATCCACTTTCTCACAAACCATGATTGGTCAATTACGTACAATGCATTCACGCTATTGCTCAAACTCATTAACTTAAGCAAGTATGAAAACAATAGGGAAAACCAAAACCCAAACATTTTAATAATCTAATGAACCTTTTTCCACTTTTTCTACAATGGAAAGTCCCATGGATGTGAAATCTTTTTTTATGGAATCATCAGTGCTAATAAAGAACATTTATTTTTAAGAGTAGGTTTTGTTGGCGCTGATAGCCTTGTGGGCATCCCGAGTTTGAATCCCGGCTCGAGGACCTTTCCCGATGCCACCCCCCTCATCTCTCGCTCCGTCTTCACTTCCTGTCACTTCTACACTGTCCTATACTAATAAAGTGCCAAAAATAAATCTTTGAAAAAAAAAGTAGGTTTAATTTCAGCTATAATTAACATGGAAATGTTCCCTAACAGTGGTCTTTTTCAACACGGTACTAGAATGTATATAACCATCTGGTGTCAGCAATGTCCAGTTCTTTGGTAATGCTACGGCAATGCAGTCAGTTTATTATGCATGATCAAACACGCAGCTGAAGCCTAACATCTGTTGTTATTACCTCCACCGTTCATATTCCAGTCAACTTCATTTAAAAATCCTAATGATGGTGTTTGACGCCCATTAGAATTATTTAAACCAAGTTCAAATGTATTAAAGCAATCAATCTGTCAGCGTTGTGCTTTTTCAGGTGCATCATCACAGGGCTGAAAGTTTTGAGATTTGAGAATAGCTCTTACCCCACCATCTGCAGCGTACCTCCTAGACGAAACAATTTCTGACATGCCGTATTGTATATGCTTTAGGCTATTTCTGATACTGTATATATCAGCTCTATGCGAAACAATCATACCTGGGAGGGAATACCATCAAGGACATTGCAAATGAAATGCATGAGACGTGGCCTACCAAGTGAAGCTCATCTCCCTCAATCCAGTGGGTCCAGCCCCTCCCCTCGATCTCTCCTTTCTGCACACATACCAGTTTATCTCCATCCCAGGTGATGGTGGTCTATAATGCATAACAGAGATTTATTTTTAACATATATTGTATACAGCAAAAATAGAGTTAAGTAAGAATTGTAAGACACGGAAGCAGAACAGATTTTGCAAGAGCAGTGGGAAAAGAAGAGCACATCTATATTATACCGACGCAAAAAGAAAATTAAATCTGACCCACAATAAATGTGTTTGCACTGCGATTATATGCTGCACAAAGAGAAGCATGTTGGAATGGCCTCTTCTTCTGCCAGATTTCAGTGAAAGAAATTAAAAAACACAATGCTGGGTGCTGTTAGGACTGAATGGGGTGAGTGATTTTTGTTCAGGGCAAACCGGGTCACAACATCTTTAGTGAATGCTGCGTTTCAAGTGTTTTTATTTACTGCAACTCAACAAAATTTGAGTTGTATCAGAA